CACGCAGACGGTCGGCCAAGACTCACTCACACAATGCATTCTTTCAACAGCAGCTAGGGTCCTACAAAAATCACACATATTTAATGTCTGCTACCCTTGCTAAAGAAGATATTTGAGTGCATTTACATATATTTGTGAAACTGAGAATTTAGAATAGCTTTAAATATACTATGGTGTGGAGATCTTATAGAACAGAATTGTTCCAAATATGCTTCATTTCAAATTTATTTATATTATTACTTTTACAAACTCATTGGCTTCATCTCATGTAAATACATCTTCCAGTGAAAAAACAGGTAAATAAATATAGATTTAATTCTCGTTTTGCATTTAGTGTATGTTTTTAGTAATGTTCATTTTTTATTACAAGAGAAGAATGCAATGCCTATAGGAAAATACACTTTTAGTGGTAAAGTAGGGAAAATATGTGAAGAATTACATTTTTTAAATTGTTTTATTAGGGGCTCATATGACACTTATCACAATCCATACATACATCAAGTGTGTAAAGCACATTTGTACATTCATTGCCCTCATCATTCACAAAACATTTGCTCTCCACTTAAGCCCCCAGCATCAGGTCCTCATTTTCCCCCCTCCCTCCCCGCTCACCCCTCCCTCATGAGCCCTTGATAATTTATAAATTGTTTATTTTGTCATATCCTGCCCTGTCCGACGTCTCCATTCACCCACTTTTCTGTTGTCCGTCGCCCAGGGAGGAGGTCACATATAGATCCTTGTAATCGGTTCCCTCTTTCCAACCCATTCTCCCTCTACCCTCCCAGTATCGCCACTCACACCACTGGTCCTGAAGGGATCATCCGCCCAGGATTCCCTGTGTTTCCATTTCCTACCTATACCAGTGTACATCCTCTGGTCTAGCCAGACTTGCAAGGTAGAATTCGGATCATGATAGTGGTGGGGGCGGGGGGAGGAAGCATTTAGAGACTAGAGGAAAGTTATATTTTTCATCGGTGCTACATCACACCCTGTCTAGCTCGTCTCCTCCCCAAGACCCCTCTGCAAGGGGATCTCCAGTGGTCTACAAATGGGCTTTGGATTGCCACTCTGCACTGCCCCCCTCATTCACTATGGTAAGATTTTTTGTTCTGATGATGCATTGTACCTGATCCCTTCAACAACTCGTGATCACACAGGCTGGTGTGCTTCTTCCATGTGGGCTTTGTTGCTTCTGAGCTTGATGGTCGCTTGATTACCTTCAAGCCTTTAAGACCCCAGACGCTATACCTTTTGATAGCCGGGCATCATCAGCTTTCTTCACCACATTTGCTTATCCACCCA